CACATATCATAAGGGACCTAGCCTAAGGATCATCATCGGGATGGACATTACTGCTAAGGGGGTTCCTAAGCACTAAATGTCCTAAAGGTAACCATGAGGGGGATGGAGTACACCGGTGAACACATCGTTCACAAACACCTACAGGTTGCGAGCCTGCTAGTGTTCCACTGGACTGTTTAGAAGAGTCCGTGGTCGTCATCTATACTCCACTAGATGACTAGAATCAACAACAACAACATCGAGGCCTCTCATCATTTTATCACACATCGTCTTATTACATATACCCATGTTTTACCCTAACATTTTTGTAGATATAAAATACATATATAGTTTTAAATCAATTAAAACTTGTATAAAAACATATATCCAGCATAGATAGCAAGTATACATATAATATGCATACATAGCACGTAATTTATATAAAATACTTCATATCTATGTGTAAGATGAAAGTGACTATGCACTCACCTGATGAGGTGGTGATTCCGAATTTAGACAACGCTTCGTTACTCTTGAAACAATTTCCTTCGTCAAAACCTAGTATCATTACAACTAGGGTTTAGTCTATCATTCACCGAGACTAATTAATAATCTAGCTATTATTACTATTATATAAGCGTTAAACAATACTTATATAACCCATAATAATAGCCCAAGTAGTCATTATAAGTTCCTAATAACGTTAGTATAATTATTTAAAATCTATATTAAAAGTTGTGTAGGCGTAGCTCACTTACAACGAGTTTTAAAGAAAACCAGACTTTGCTCGGAGCAACGTTTCGAAACCGAAAGACCCTTTTTCTCGGGACTCTGGGAGCCCCTGGGCTTCCTTCTGGTGCTAGGGGGTTTGGAACCTAGAGAGAGAAGTGATTTTGGTGCAAGAAAGCCGGCTGACTTCGCTGCCTTTTTATAGCCTGTGAGGACTCGATACACTGGGCGTAACTCGGACCTACGCTGGGCGTAGTGCTTCGTTCGTACAACATGTGTTGCGGCTTTGGTGGGGCGACGTGGCTTCTCTTGGGACGAGGGATGCAGCTGTACGCGGGGTGCAACTCCTTCCGACACAGGGCGTACCCGGACGCGGGGCGTTCCTCACGTACGCGAGGCGTAGCAAGGCCAGGTGTCCGAATCCAAAGACCAGATCGTGACCAACAAGCGACGACCTTGATCGAGCCATGTCATCATCCCCTTTGCAGTTTCGCAATTTTCTTTTCCAACTTCTAAAATTCATAACTTTCGCATACAAGCTCCATTTTCAACGTTCTTTATATCCACGCGAAGGCAGGAACGTACTCTACAACTTTCTTTTAGACTCCATCAGCTAATTTTGACTTTATTTTAAAAGTTATATTATTAACAGGCCGGGACATGATTGGTCCATTAAAAATTCATAACTTCTTCATCCGACATCCGTTTTCTTCCATCTTTTTATCGTTACGCTACTCTTAATGAGATCTTCGATTCTTGTTTAGGTTGTGTTGGATAAAAACTGCTCGATCTAATATTCCAACTTCGGGCTGTACACTGCTAAGCCGAAACTTTGAAAAATCATAACTTCCTCATACGAAGTCAGATTTGGACGTTCTTTTTATGGATTTTCTCAGTTTAACATACTCTACAACTTTTGTTTAGATTAATAAGGCTAAAAAGTCTTCTATCGTAAATTCACTTTTTACGCTTCCCGGTGTCGTGCCAGTTCCGTCGCGAACATCGACGGGTCATAACTTCTTTGTTTAAATCGGATTTCATCGTTCTTTATATCTTCGGAATCCTTGTTTCAACCACTACAACTTTATGTAAAGATATCGGGCTTATCTCACACTTTAATTTTGACGCTTATTCTTATTCTTCATTTATTATTCATTTAGAAATAAGAAATAAGCATATAAATTCACATAATACTCAAATATTTCATCTTTATTACTTCCAAAAGAGTTACAATAGTTAACCTAGACTATTACATCACCCAAAAATGCTTAGCCCTGAAACCCGGGCGTTACAGTTAGTTTCTATGTGAGCCGTTACAACCATGTTTGATAATGACTAATTCGTCTGTCTTGGCGTTTTCAGACGCCGATTTTGATTAGGTAAGGTTTATCACCCTAGAATGGCCTAGTCTAGCTATAGCGAACAACTTAGGTGTGGGGTGTCACTCCGTATAGATCTATACACAAACTCCCGCTCTCCCTCTAGGAAACTCTGGTTATAACTACAGGCTACGATCATACACTCAAAGGTGTCAACCGACAAGTCTCACTAGATCCTCATCTTGTTCACGAGTAGTGTATTACACGAATATTGTCTTACGCTGTATAATGTTTTACGTGTACGTTTTATGTTTGAAAAATCCAATGATTATGTATGAGTATGTATGAAATCCCATAGACATGATGAAAGACCACCAAGGCCCAATAATGTATAGTTTTAGGTCTAATTAACGTGTATATGGGCCATTAAGGCCCAATAGATATGTAATGTATAGTTTAGACCCAAAAGCATGTATATGGGCCAATAAGGCCCAGTAAACATGTACATGGACCAATAAAGTCCAATAACATGAGGATTTACACCTTTAGTCCAATTGCATGAAAATTTACATTTTTAGCCCAAGTCAATAAAAGTGCATGTTTTTGGCCCAATAATATAAAATGTTTTACATTTCAGCCCCTTTTTAGATAAAATGACATTTTTGACCCATTTTTGATAAAAATTACATTTTCGGCCTAAATTTGAATAAATGTCATTTTTAGCCCATAAAACCGTACTTTTTCCATTTTAGCCTCAAACTTGTGTAAAATAGCAATTTAATCCATGAAAATCAGAATTTTTACAACTTTGACCCACTAAAACTGAAAAGCCCATTTTTAAGGCCCATTATACCGAATTTACGTTCTAGGCCCCTTAATCACCAAAAACATCGTAAAAACCCATTTCTTTTATGAAAATGACTCCTTTAGTCCTTGTAAAACCGTAAATGCCAAGAAAGTCTCATCTTTATGGTCATTTGTCAAAAATGGCCCTTTTTCAAGATTTTATTTAGTTTCTTATGAATCTTCACATGTTTAACACATTTATCTTTATAGTAAGTTGTATGAAGTGTCTTTAGTTCACATATCTCACCCATTTTGTTAGAGATTTCTAGATATATATCATTTCATCACATTTTTACAACATAAACCAAGAAAACATACATAGACATGCACAAATACATAGATCTAGCACATAGCAACTTGTATTCTCCCCCAAAACCTTATAAAACTGAAAAAAAGGGGGTATGAACTCACCGTGATTTGTTGTTCTCGGTTTGAAGAAGAAATGGAAAGAGATGGTGTGATTCTTGGCCCTACCAAGCTCCTTGAGAAAATTTTGACTTAGATGGGTTATAAGAAGCAAGATCACGAAATGACATGAGTTAAGAAGAGATTTTTGAGGAGATCACAAAGTTAAATCATAGATCTAAGCAAGAACTTACCAAAGATTGTGATATTGATGAATAATCCTCTTGAAATCACCCACAAAGCTCGAAAATTTTAGAGAAACATGGAGAGGTTCTTGAGAGTGTTTGGAGGTGTTTGAAAGAAAAATGGGAGGTGTGTGATGAGGGTTTCAACCGAGGGTAGTAGAAGGGGGGGGGGGAGAAGAGAAGAGGTTGAGGTGATGTTTGCATGGAAGACCACCATGCAAACATGAGGTTGCTAATGCACAAATTTCCTCACTTTTCCTTTTTTTTTTTGTCTAATAAGCATAGTGGGCCGAGAATTGGGCATAAGAGGGATGTTGAATCAATACTTTAGGCTAATTCTTGGCTTTCTCGAATTTATGAAGCCCTATTTTTCGGCGCATTGGGCCCTTAGGAGAGTTCATGGCCAATGAAGCCCAATTAAGAGGGTTTACGACCCGTTATGGCAAATGCAATCATTTTGGCCCAACTTGGACCATTAGGAATAAAATGAATCATTTTAGGCCCACTTGGCCCAAAATGTTACATTTTATGAATGTGGGTCCAATTAGAACCTAATTAGGGTTTCTAGGCCTAAAGTAGTCAAGCTGAAAGTTTAATTGTCCATTAGGCCCAGTAAGAGGATCCTAGTCCATAGTGAACTTAAACCGGGATTTCTAGGGTTTTCAACTCATGATTGACTAATTGGAATGTTTTGTATAGAGTTTTAGACTTCACATGTGGATCTTGATTCAGTTTGTTGTTATTGAATAACCATAGTACGTCGTATCAAATTAGAGTTACAGGTGTCACAATAAATGATGTTTACAAAGTACAAAATTTCCTAGCAAAAAGGATAGTTGTGACACAAAGGATCGGTTAAACCTTTTATTGAAAACAAATTGGCAATTGCATTGATGAAGAACCCGATAATCTATTGAAAAAGAAAGTACATCACCACAAAGTTCCATTTCAATTGGAATGAATAGATGAATGAAAAATTACTATAAAGTTTTTTGAAGAAGCAAAAGATGAATATTTCACACTATCATTGATGCATGTGAAGAATACACATGTGAATGTACTCAAAGTGACGGATCGAGCTTGGTCCAGTTTAAGAGAGAGAACGTGACATTAAACCGAAAACATTTGTTTAAACCTTGGAATGATGGCTCAATGAAGGATAACTTAGGAATGAATAGCATTAGGAAGGATAAGTTCATAAATGATAACTTTAGTAAGGATAAGGAATGATACTTTTATGGAATGATAACTTTTTTTTTTTTTGAATAAAGAATTAACATATCTTGTACTTTTTATATTATTCTAAATATTTTTCATGTTTCCAAGATATAAGGAGATATGTCTTGTGTTACTTTGCAATGAAATAATGTAGGTATATCAATTTGACATTAGGAATTGTAGGTTATAAATAGAAGTAGTCTCCAAGCGGTCTCAATTGTAACAGTTTGTTTTCACTCCTAGTGAGGAGTAGAAAGTTATATCAATACTTTGTTTCTTTAATTATATATAGTTTTCCACAATCACATAGCTCATAATTTGTGCATTTAATTTACCTTTAATAAATAGCATATATACATTTGATCCTATTAACTTCCAACAAACTAAACAATTTTACTAAAGTACATATTGTGATTAAGTACATTAGATAGAAAAGGAATGACCTAAAAAACATAACCCCGGAAAAACAACTTAACAACATGCTTTATGCAAGAGACACCTTTGTACAGTTGAGGATCACAGTAGAATACTAGGAAAGTGAGTATCATACGATAAACCCAAATACAAGCCATTGACAAATTAATTACCCTTTCAGCGTCCATCCAACTTAGTGATTGTCAACATGTTTTTGGATTGCGTATCTGTTTTATAAGAACTAGAGGAAGAGGAGGTAGCATTGTCCTTTCTTGCAATGAAGGCCGGTTCTTTTGGAGTTGGGAGTGTGACGATATCACCTCCAAGCATCAAAACAACTTTGGTCATGGTAGGACGATCATCAGGGTCTCCTTGTACACATAGGAGCCCAATATTTATACATTTCAATACCTCACTTGAATTGCATGATTCTATTAGTACTTTATCCATCAACTCAAATGGCTTATCTTCTCTCCATAAATTCCATGCCTGAGATATTTGTAGACATAAAGATATATAACTACTAATTAAATAATGTAGGTAGCAACTTCGAAGTTCTTATAGAACTTACATGTCCTAAAAGACTTAGACTTCTCTGTGATTGATAGAATCCTGTATTTTTTGTTCCACTTACAATCTCAAGCATAACTACTCCAAAGCTAAAAACATCGGATTTAACTGAGAACAGCCCATCTAGTGCGTACTCTGGAGACATATAACCACTGAGAAACAAACAAATTATTGTTAACTAGAGGAGCCCCATTTGTAAAGTTCTCGACACAAAAGGAGAAAATCCATATCAATTTTAAATTTGAAAGATAACCACTTCTATCTCTTCAATACCAAGTTTGACTCTTGTTTAAAGGAGTGCTAATATTATCATACTTACAAGGTTCCGATAACTCTGTTGGTCATAGCTTCCATATCTTTACCTTTAACTATCTTGGCCAAGCCAAAATCCGAAATTTTTGGATTCATATCCTCATCTAACAAAATGTTACTTGTTTTCAAATCCCGGTGAATAACCCTCAACCGAGAATCATGGTGGAGATAGTTGAGTCCTCTAGCAATTCCCATAATGATTTCAAATCTCATTTTCCAGTCCAGTGATGCGCACATCGTTCGATCTTGCAAAGAAAAAAATAAAGTTTCATATTAATTCTTTGTATGCTATTTATACTGAACCGTCTATATATATATATATATATGTACGTATTTACGGATATAATTAATCATATGAATGGAGAAATGAACTAACCAAATATAAATGTATCTAGGCTTCTATTTGGCATGTACTCATAAAGAAGAATCTGTTCTTCTCCCTTGATGCAATATCCCAATAGTCTAACAAGATTTCGATGCTGAAGTTTAGCAATAAGCATAACCTCATTTTTGAACTCTTGCAAACCTTGTCCAGAGAGGCTTGACAACCTCTTCACTGCAATTTCTTCGCCTCCAGGAAGCTTACCCTATAATAAAGTACCAAAAATTTCCTTCTTATTTGATCTTGATTCTAATAAAGTACTTATAATTGGTTGAATTGGAAGAAAATTAACTGAAAATATAGTTTCTTAATCTGTTACCTTGTAAACAGGCCCAAAACCACCTTGTCCAAGCATATTTTTCTCTGAAAAGTCATCAGTAGCAGCTATTATGCTTTCCAGCTCAAAATATGGCACATCAATGCCTTCTCTGTCATCTTCTTTTGAGTGATCTGGATCGAGTAACTCCTTCATACGTCTCCGTGTATCATTCGACTGCAATTCGTTGTTTTCTGTGCTTTCATGATAGGACAAGTGAAGGCTATGCCTTAAATTCAGATTTTAAGTTTCACATGATAAATAATTATACATAGAGCGTTTCAAAGAAAAGTAATTGTCTACATCTGCAGTATGCATAATGACTTACCTCTTCTATTCATTAATCTTTTGCATAAAATATAGCTAATGCCACACAATGACAAAAGCACCAGCGTTGAAACAATGATAACAATAGCAAGAACACGTTTCAGAAATGATGATTTTTCTGTTGGCTTTGGTTGACTGATTATAGGTGCTGCATATGAAATGGCGCAATATGAGTTTACATACATACATACATATATACATATATACATATATACATACATACATACACACACTCACACACACCCATGCACCCATGCGCTTGCCATTTCAACAAACACAAATGCCATTAATTTCAAATGCAGAGATATATAATGAACTCTTTTTTTTTTTTTTTTTTGTCTGCATCGTTCTTCTGCAATTGTAAATACTATGATAGATAGAATGAGTTAGAAACATTAATAGTTTCTGTGCAAGAAATAAGGAAATACCTTTTGATAACCTAGAAACACGAAAGGAGATAGTATGTACACCGTTCTCTCTAAGATTATCTGGTTCAGAGTTCCAGAACCAGCAACCAGAGCTCTCCACATTGCGACTTTTATCCACTAAGCCTCCCAGCTCATTTTGAGAAATATAAGAATAAGCTAGGCACTGACAGTCTTTAAGGCACTTCTTCATGCATGCTGATTCATTCTTTGATTTATAGAAGGGCAAAGTTGTATCATCCATACTAATCATAGTTTTTGTCATGAATGCGTCATTACTTCCTGGGAGACAGCTGATTTCAGACGATCTTTTGCATCCAGCCCTATAATCATCGGGTGAATTATAATTAGTAGGTTCAAATCCAGGTAAGCAACTACACATGACTGAGTCCTTATTTTTGCTGCAAATCCCAAATGAGCCACACACTCTATGCACGCTACAGTTATCTTTGGGCTCTTGCCAATCCAAAACCCATTTAGTTGAATTTTGAGGCCAGCTAAGATATTGTATATGCCCTGTATGGTTCATTACCAACCTTGAGTAAGGTTCGATCACCAGATAACTTTCATCCTTTATGCAGGAAGAATACGTGTAACATTTTTTCCCAATGATGGATCGTGTTCGTGTGGTAGTACTGTTTGACAGCAACAAGAATGCCTGAGGGAAAATTTGATTCTCATCAAAACTTTTGGTCGACTTGTTCCCACTTTTCCATTGAAGTTTGGTTGATTCCTTCAAAATGAAGTATCGGTTTGTACCAGGGTATTGCTGAAACTCGAAGCTTCCAGATCCTGGGTCTTCTGGACTTTTCCATGATGTCAACTTTAAGTTATTATCGACCATCTTCATTCCAGGAATAAGAGTATCTGTTGGAGTTTGAAAGCTCTGCCATAATATGTTTCCTGATATAACATTTATTAATATGGCATTTCCGTCATCCAACAACTTCAGTGCCGTTGAAGAAGCTCCATCTGGCAACCCCACGGTGAAAGTTCGTCAAATTCCCATAAAATTAAATTGAAGGCATAATATCATGGAAATTGTATTAGATATATAGGTGATCAATAGGGGTGTTGATTTGGATGGATCAATCCAATCAAATCAGGTGAATCCAAATTGATTTCGGTTTTCAAAACATAGATGCGAATAGTTCAAACTAAATTCAAATCCAATTTGATCCGATCCGATTACAATTCGGTTTGATCGGTTTTTTACATTATGGGTTTTCAAAAACCAAAACATTTTAAAACAACATATAATTATAATATTATCCAACTTTACATAATAAATGAAAAAAAAATATTTAATTGTGATTTGAAATTTATAAACAACTACTAACAAGATATATTATAGTTAAATATTTTATAGATAGAAAACTTTTGAGAGAAAATGATATTAATGTTTTTTTTATCGGGTGAAACGTTTTGAACCATTTTGAAGAAATAAATTACAAAATTAATAAATAACTATAGATATATATTATAAATAAATAAATAATAAATATTTATTCGGTTCTTATTTTATAAACCAAAACCAATCCGAAATCCAAAATAATAATTCGTTTTTGTTGAAAATCAATCCAAAAATCTCAATATCCAAACCAATATCCAAATAGTCAACATCCCTTACTTTTATGTGGTTTAGGAGCTCTTATCGTCAGTTTTGATGGATTACTTTTTATCCAGCGAACTTATAACTTTTTTGGAATTGGTTGGTTCTAAATACACGAGAATGTTCAATTATCATGAACCACTAAGGATTTTGGAGGCCAAACATTGTATGCGAAACGCGATAACAATTAAGTGCAAGTGATTAATTAATTAATATGATATTCCAGGGTAAATTCCACAACAAATGTACTTCTTACTGGGTTGGTTGACTCGGTTTTTGTGCTATCAAACAACCCCTAACTTCACTTTTACAAAACTAATTAATTGGTCCATTTGAATTAATTACCTGAAGGGTCTGTAGAGAAGTATTCAACTTGTTTTCCATTTAACAGCTTAGCACTACCGTCTTCTGCAACAGTAAGAATTCCAGTGGAATCCAGCACTGGTGTATCACGGTTAGCAACCCACACAACAGTCTTTGGATCCATCGTATACCATATCCCCACATATCTTCTTACTTCTGCTGCTTTTCCATGCGGAAAGAAGCCCATTTGAAACTTCTTCCCAGAAGATTCTAAGTAACTAGGACCATCATTGATAAATTCCCCAGTCGTTATGTTGTCTTTAGCTAAAATACAGCAGCAACAACACACCAGAATTAATACATACAAGGAGATGAATTCTGTATTCGTGACTAAAGATATCATCATAGTTTCTGAATATTTAGTTTGTAGCAACTGTTTGGTAGCAACTGTTTGATAGATGGATAATGATGCGATAGTGAGAACTATGAGGTACGTATACAGAGAAGAAAGAGCTCAATTATTTGTGTCAAAGTAATCGATTAATAAAAAGTACGTCCAACTTTACTATTGCATGGTTTTTGTCGCTTATTAAAGATACAGGCTTGTGATTGGATACTATCATTCTTATTCCACTAACTTTTACGAGGGATGGCTATATGCTATAAGGAATGACATTAATAACTAATCTATTATAATAAAATTAATTTTCAATCATTATGACGGCAAACCTACACCAAAAAGTTTATTGCAAAGAGACCCTTAAATATAGCGACAATGTGTGATAAATATAATTATAAATGAAAAGACTTTCCTTGAGGTCTTATGTGGGAATTAGATATAAGTAATTTAGGAATACATTTGTTGTTTAAAAAAAATGAAAAAATAATTTTATATAATTTATTAAATAATTTTTTGTCGCAGTATAAGCCATAATGATGATCGCTTTAAACCATTATCTTTTAAGGATATTATTTAAAATGATCAAAACTTAAATAAGTCATCAAATGTTCTATGAGTGGTTCATAGGAAAACAACATTCCACGTGTTGTTGAAGTCAAACACAAAATGATTTATACTAATTAAAATGAGTACGATAGGTTTGAATGTGGTAAGTCTTTGTGAATGTATAGTCAAACACAATTATGACTCATGTTTGGAAAAATCCACAGATATTTATGAGAACAGGACAATGTGGGTTCCCCGAAGACATTTAAGCATACAGTGATCGGTTTTCAACTTCCGTTTAAGGTGAGTTTTAAGTGCAGTTAATATTATGCGTTTACATTTTAAAGTGTTTATAATTATCGACAAATCATAACATTTTAAAGTTATACTAGGTATGGATTTTGGAGACATTTCAGAAGCTTTAAGGTATACGCATCACACCGCAAATGAATTTCCAATAATGAGGGCATGGAGAATAAAAACATAATTAATTGCCGAGCGATGTTTACGTATATTAGACTTGTTACTGGTATAGTTATACATTCCTTACAAAGTTATATATAGTTAAAAATCACAAAAGTTATATGCAGTTAAAGTTAATGTTTTTATTTTGTAGGAAAACAACATTCCACGTGCTGTTGAATCAATAATTTTTGAGATCTAATTGCCATTCTATACATGTTATCTGACTTGGACTTTGAACGGAGTGCAGTCTCCACCAATACAATAGAGTCCCCCTAAACATCGGTCCTAATTACCTCAACCCTATCAGTTTCAGCAAGCAGATTACATCATCTCACCCTCTCATGTTCTGGAAGCAGACCACATCACCTCACAAGACAGTAAAATAGACAAGTTAATGGGCGTTGTTAATCATTTGGCAACCACAATCGAGCACTTTATGGAGAAACTTGACAAATGGGAAAACGAAAGATAATTTGGTGTGTAACATCCTGTTTCTTATCATTTCTGAGCCATGGACCGGAAGTCGATTGTGTAAGGTTTTGGGCCTTAAGGAGGCAAAGTTTAGTCCTTGTGGAAGGAGGTAATGATAGTTAATAGATTTTACCCTTGAATTGTGTTTTGGCCGAAGGGTAGAAAGGGAAAAGTCATAGGTTGGGTCACGTTGGGCCCTTCCCTTTCAAACCGAAAGTACTTGAAACCATAAACATTAAACAACAAGCACAAAGCTTAGTGAGTTCCCTAAAATACCACATACCATAATATACAAGTGTCATGGGCTACCCTAATGGTCTTTCCTTGCAATGTTGAGGGCCAAATCCCGGTCTTACATAAAAGTGTCATGGGCTACCCCCATGGTCTTTCCTTGTAATGTCAAGGGACAAATTCCAGTCTTACATACAAGTGTCAGGGGCCAGATCCTGGTCTTTCATACAATTGCTAGGGGCAAGATCCTGGTCATTCATACAATTGTCAGTGTTCAGATCCTAGTCTTTCATGCAAGCATCACAGAGACAACTAGCATTCCACATAACAAGTAATGGGCGGATATTAGTGCCTTAGACCCATGGATATAGTGAGAAACCTCACCTCATAGTCTGAAAGAAAAGTTGCACCGATCATTGATCTAAAATCTATCTCTACTAGTCACCTATACAATTAACACGAACCCAAATATCAAATTAGAAGTCAAAATACCCAAAATGCCCTTAATTCAAACTTGGTCAAAATCCTGGACAAAGTTAGAAGTCAACCGAGTTGACCGACTTAGCTCAGTTGAGTATGTTCGATGCACTTAACATGTACGTGGGGCATGCTATGTGTTGACCATAAGTCGAGAGGCTAACCATGTATGCGCAACATACCCTTTGGTACACCCAACGTACACGACTGCCATCCTCCCAATCCATCAAGAGATTAATCCTTTAAGCTCTTTCATCCAAAATCCAGATCTAACCCTCAAATGATATCTGTAACCATAAAGTTTCTAACTTTATAGTCTTGCATGGCTATTGAATCTTCATCATCCAAAAACCCTAACTTCTTAACCCATTAAGACATCCAAGACCATGCATGGAGAAAAACTAAGGACCAAGATTGTAACGACCCAAAGTTTCAAATAAAATTTTCATTTTTAATTAACCAAAACATTCTCATAAAATATGAAGTAAAAATGACAATTGTTTTCAAAATCCATAACATTAACATTTTATTTCAAACATCAGAGTGTCCCATCAAATCAAATGGCGGAGAGTGCATGTTGCGCCATCAAGCCTTGCGCTTGCCCTTAGGCTCAGATGTATCTGAAAAAAAATTAACAAACTGTAAGCTAATGCTTAGTGAATTCCTCAGAGCATACCACACACAACCACATAATCATATAATCCATAATAGCTTTATAAGCTACATACAACACATAATCCATGTACGCAAACATATAAGGATGTAATGGAAACCATCCAAGGTCTTACACCAAGTGCCACTTGGAACCCCCACATGGACTTAACTATCTGCCATGGGAACCCCCACATCATCTTTGCTAGCCGCCATTGGAACCTCCACGTGGTCTTGGCTAACTGTCGTGGGAACCTCCACATGGTCTACAACAACCACAGAAATATCATACGAGCTAAACATGTAAACATACTAGGAATTCGTGGAAACCCTCCAAGGACTTATACCAAATGCCATAGGAACCTCCTCATGGTCTTAATATACTTCCACGGGAAACCCCTAGGGACTTCCATACAAATGTCATAGAGACATATCACATAATCAATTATCAGTCCATATATCATGAAATTGGCCAGCCTTGGTGCCTTGGACCCATTGGTATGCTGAGAAGACTCACCTTTCAAGAAATGCTAAGCTGATAAGATAAGTCCCAAATTGCAGCTCTAACTCAAGTGTCTACAATCATCATGTGACAACTTGTCAAAATCCCGAAATACTACAAATACCGTTAAGGTCAAACTTGGTTAACCCTGGTCAATATCCAAGTCAACAGTCAAGGTCAACAGTCCATGTTGACCCCAACTCGTTTAGTGCATCTAGCAACTCGTCGAGTTCCTTCAGTATCCAAAAACCCGGGACAAACCCTAGCCAACTCGCCGAGTTGTCTCATCAACTTGTCGAGTTCACTCAATATCCAGTAGACGGGAAAACCTGATCCAACTCATCGAGTTACCAGAGCAACTCGTCGACTTTTTCCCCTATTTACACATTCGGATGATACGTCGATTGCAGGGACGCTAGGGCTTAGATCTAAGATCCTAAGGTGTCTATAAGGATAAAGTTTCCAACTTTGTCATCTGGAACCACTTTGAATGTCTTTAGGGATTTGGAATCCCTCCATTCCAGAAGATTTTCTAATCCTCAGAACGTTGCAAAGATGGAGACTTTATGGACATGCATGTCCAATGCATGTCTTGAAGTTAAAGTGGCCAAAGAGGGAAAACGTACCCTAAAACCCATGCAATGCATCCATGCTTGACCAAAAGCTAGATCTAGCCCACTATGGGACCATTTTGCCCCGGAGATTCATAAATTTGCAAACTTTATGAACCTCATGCATGCAATCAACAAGTGTGATAAGGAATGAAGAGCAAACTCAAGATCTAGCCATACTCTAAGATAAAAATTAAATCTTGAGTGCTTACAATAGTCCACAAGATGGTCAAGCTCAAGAGTGAGGGCTTTGTTTGTTGGATCTTCTCCTTCTTCTCACTGTCTTCTTCTTCTTAAGCTCTAAAAGTCACTTTAGCTCACAATATGAGAGAAAATGGAGATTAGGGTTTAGCATAGATGATCTTAGGGTTTGGAGGCTGATGGAAGTTCAACCTCAAGGTATTAAGGAGATTATATAGGATGTAAACCCTAAAATTAGGGTTTCCCTTTACAGTGCCTACACGTCGAATTAGGCCTTCCAACTCATCGAGTAGGTTCTAAATTTCGCGTCTAATAAATGAACTCTACTCGACGACTTAGAGCTTCCCAAATCGCCGAGTTCTATACTAAAACCCTAAAATTCAAAAAGCAATTTGATACCTGAAACGAGCGTTACAAAGGTCACAATAAGCCACCTTGCCCACTCAGGCGATAATCCTGAACGGACCAATATATCAGGGCCCTAACTTGCCCCTCTTCCGAAACCTGATGACTCCCTTCCATGGTGACACCTTCAATAACACGAAGTCTCCCGCCTGAAACTCATGGTCTGATTGACGCCGGTCAGCATAACTTTTCTGACGGCTCTGCACGACTCGCAGTCGGTCGCGCACTTACTGAATCAACCTGGTAGTCTTGAGCACTACCTCGGTGCTCCCCATGAATCTATGTCCAACCTCGCCCTAACAAACAAGGTCCTACATCTTCAACCATACAAAATCTCAAACGGAGGTCGTCGATACTAGCATGATAACTATTGTTATATGAAAACTCTGCTAGTGGGAGCTAAGTATCCCAACTTCCTCCAAAATCCAACACGCATGCCCGAAGCATATCCTCGAGTGTCTGGATCATCCTCTCGCTCTGGCCATTTGTCTAGGGGTGGTATGCCGTCATGAAATGCAATTGAGTGCCCAGTTTCTTGTGGAACTTCTTCCAGAATCAAGATATGAATCGAACATCCCGGTTAGAGACTACTGACACTGTCACCTCGTGCCTGACCACCACCTCCCGCACATAAATATCTGCTAATTTCTCCGCGGAGATGCTCTCGAAGATCAGAATAAAGTGG